ATATATATATATATATATCCAGTGTCAAACAGATACAAGGTTGTGATTCAAGGAGAAATTGGAGCACAAAATAAATGTAGTCACATATTATCTTAATTCATGTATTTCATATATCAGTGTGTGTCTTGCACAGACAGTTTGGATTCTATTAAGATAAAGCACCTGTGCGTGTAAAATAAAGAAAAGCCTCCTCCAATACAGTATGAAGTGACTAAACAAAACGGCGGTGTTTAAGATGATAAACAAACATGTGAATGCAGCTTCACCGTGCGCCCAAGTTATTATTTTTATAGTTATCACTTCTACACAAAAGGTCGTCACATTTAAAAGACAACGTAAAGGAACATGCACTCCGGCCCAGCAGGTGTCAGTGTCAATGTTTCACAAAAAGACCCGAAGAAGACGCAGAAGCGGAAGAGACGTGGCACATAAACAGAGAGAGGAGGGAGCAGCTAGCAGCTAGCAGAGAGTCAGTTCACTGATGACAGCTCCTGGAGCCGCCTCTCATGGGAACTTGACAAGGGAGCTTAAATGACAGTCGTACATGACCTGAAACGAACGGGGCTTGATTAGAGTCTGTGTGACAGGTAACTTGTCATTAATTGTCCTTTGCGTCGGAACTTCCTCAACTCCACTAGCTAGCTAGATTAGCTCGCTGCTAACGTTACCTCACCTGATAACTTCCAGCTAAGTTAGCAGCTAATGTTAGCTCCGATTCACGTAGCTGCCAAAAGGTGTTGACAGACCTGTTATTTGTTGTTGAATCATTAAGTCAGTGCAGAAGAACTGACGCACGACCTCTCGAAAATGTGTACGATAACTTTGTCAAGTTCAACATTAAAGGAGCAGCCAGTTACAGCTAAAGAAGTATAAATCACGTTAACAGACAATATGAGTCGCATCTACTGCTGAGTGCTACTGATAACCAGCTAATAAGTACATTACACTGTTAACATGTTAACCCAGTATCCTGTCGATATCGATAATGTGGCCCTGGTTTGTCTATCAAAATGTCTGTTCTCATACAACATCACAATCTACTGAGGCTGTTCGCTCTGGTTGGGGCTGTCCCATTCAGTACCTGTGGCATGGCTGTAGGGTAATAAAGTAGATAAAGCAGACAGAGTAAACACACATAGAAAGGTAGAACAAAAATGAAATGAAAGTGTTACTTAAGTAAAATAAGGCTATAAGTAAGACAACCTATTATCAGGAGCAAAGTCCTTGGAGATACTAACATAGGAGTGGCTAAATCCTCTCTCACAGTATTGTGTAATGTAGTTTATGTTGTACATCCAGGTGAGAAACTTATTTGAGATACTGTTAATGTGTACAATAACCAAAAAATGTAATACCTAAGTAAAGACTTAATCACACTGATTTGCCACCTCACAATGGCCACATACAGTCAGAGAAAACTTATATACCTTGGTATAAATGCTATTGGTAGTATATTATAGTATGGCGAAGTGTATAACCATTAACACATTTATATCACCTCAAGGTACATATTGTCATATTTACATATGATATGTACATGGGTTAGGGTTAAGTACATGATATTGGTTTACATTCTGACCTTTTCTGGCTATTGCCTATTTATTAGAGCGGCACAATTAATATATTATCAGAATTGCAATATGGTCAAGTGCAAGTGTAAAACTTCACATCATCTTGAGTTTAATAGGTTTTTTAAAAAGTGAAAATTCAATTTGTGATGCAAAAAGAATCATTCCCACATAAATCGCAAGTGCAGTATCTGTGAAAATAATCGCACTATGATGTATTTATTATATCGTGCAGCAGATTTTTCGAGACTGATACTGATTTTAGAGGAGGAAGTTTCACTGATTACCAACATGGTGGCCGATATAGATTTTCTAGCTGGAATGAAAATGTTTTTGCACCAATAGAACAATGCAAAGGTACTCAGAAAGCTGCTATCTTAAACAAATAACTTTATTTAAGAATGTTTAAGTTATATATTCTTCAACATAACATCTAGGCTACATTGTCAACCAATTCTAGATAAATAAAAGAGAAAAATAATAAAATAAATAGCTCAACATCAGTGTTATAAAAGCTACAAGAATTCATTGCGTTATATACTGGAAAAAACAGTATTTATACCGGATAATATTGGCCGATCGATATATATCGGTTCTGCTATTTATTAATTTCCTTCCCACATGGTGAACGTTCAGTTGTTTTTAACATAACTGACGTGACAGCAGAAATTTGGCAAAAATGTATCTTCTTTATCTGAGAAAATTTGGGGCTGAGGGGAAAAAAAGAAAGATATAAAGTCATGTCAGTCTTTGCCACTATTATGTTGGTCTAGTCTGTGTTCAAGAGAACATTAGCCTCAGGATACAGTGCAAACCTTTTAATGTCACATGCTTTTGCTAGAAAATAAAGACATATTATTCTTGCTTCTAGCCTGTGCTCATACTGAATAGTCTGTGTAGAGACAGAATGTTGAACTACGACTTTTTGTTGTATACATCTATAACAAACCTGCATTTGTTTGTTTGTTCTCAACACAGCGCAGGTGGCTATGGGTCTCTGCAAGTGTCCGAAGAGAAAGGTGACCAATCTGTTCTGCTTTGAGCATCGTGTAAATGTGTGCGAGCATTGCCTCGTCTCCAACCACAACAAGGTCAGTGGGTGAACAAGTATCACATGAATCACGTTTGTACTAAAGGTGTAACATGACATTAAAATTCTGTATTTCCACTTGCTGCCCTTCAGTGTATCGTGCAGTCATATTTGCAATGGCTTCAGGACAGCGATTACAACCCCAACTGTACTCTGTGTAATACTCCACTGACTGCTCAAGACACGGTCAGACTGGTCTGCTATGGTAAGATTATCAGGTTTCTGCTTTTTATTGGGAATATATGCATCTGTGTAAAGCAGTCCACTGATGTTTAAAGGAACAGTTCAACCAAATGACAAAATGAATAGAATTTAGTTTGTTGTGCTCCCACCCGTGTTGCTGTGACATGAAAACGTTTCTTCCTTTTACAGATGTGTTTCACTGGTCTTGTCTTAATAACTTGGCATCTCGGCTGCCTCTCCATACGGCTCCAGCGGGATACCAGTGTCCCGCCTGTCAGGGTCCAGTGTTTCCCCCTTCCAACCTGGCCAGCCCAATTGCGGATGTGCTGAAAGAACAGCTTTCATCTGTTAACTGGGCTCGAGCTGGTTTGGGCTTGCCACTGGTAAGAGCCTATTGTTGTTAAATCCCTTGTTTGGAGATCTCACAGCCATTAGACAAGTCTTACTGAAAACAAATAGAAAAAGTAGAATATTCAGAACTGTGCATTATATCATATTAATAAAACTTTAATCTTTGTCTCACAGATTGAAGAGCCCGTTGGGGTCCTTGAGGAGACCGCAGCCAATGATGTCACTGATTATACTGACTGGTCGACATTTGATAGTGAGCCTTAATGTTTGCTTTTCATTACGACGTGTGTATTTATCAGGGAATGTTTAGTAGCTGTTGACACAGTGTTATTTAAGTGTTTTAATTAAACTCTCTCTTTTCGTTTCCACAGCACAAGAACAAAGTAACATTTACCCCAGCCACTCTTTCAACACCACCAGCCTCAGCCCACCATCAAATTCTGTCTCAGCTCCACCACAGGAAGACCTTGCAGCTCCACGTAAAAATGGGGATCCAAATATGCAGGAGCACGCTGTGGTCAACTTAAGTACTGCTCCCACCTGTGACACAATTACAATACACACAGGTAACGCAATGGGAAGCCCTCTGAATCTACAGTCTCTTAAAGTACAACTTTGTCTTTCCTTAAAGGTCCAGTGTGTAGGATTTAATGGAATCTAGCTGTGCAGATTATACTTCCCTCATTTCACCCTTCCCTTCCAAACACAAAGGAAAAACTACGGTGGCTGCAAAGTGTGTGAAAAATGCAAAAGCCACTATCTAAAGCCAGTGTTTGGTTTGTCCTTTCTGGCCTACAGTAGAAACATGGCGGCCTCCATGAAAGGTGATTATTCAATAAAAACCTCCCAATGTTATTAAATTCCATTCTTGCCAATAGATCTTCTTAAATGTTACACACTGAACCTTCAAGTACTCCAAAACATTCAAAACAATGTTTAGCTCAGTTTTGTGCACACACTGAACATTGTTTGTTGAAAGATTAACACAGTTATTTTGTTGTTGTTCTCCAGCATCGTCACCAAGAAAGATCTACGACACACGGGATATCGGTCACAGCTCTGTCACACAGATTGATTTTGACGACGACAAGTACCGGCGACGACCGGCATTGAGTTGGTTTGCTCAAATTCTCAAGTAAGTATCTCAATCAGCTGTGGCTCTCTTTTATGGCTTTGTCACCAGGAATGTCACCTTTATCTCTTATTTTCGTTCTTTATCTTTTCAGGAATCGCACAGGTGGAAAGCGCACGTCTTTCTCCTGGAAACAGCGGGTCTTCATGCTTCTTCTGGTTGGAGTTCTGGGATTCTTTACATTGATAATCATCATGGCTAAACTTGGACGTGCCTCCGCTGGTTCAGACCCAAATTTAGATCCTCTTCTTAACCCCAACATCCGTGTGGGAAAAAACTGATTACAAGCATCAGTTAATTCTTTTCCCTCTGTGTTACACAACAAAAGCCTGTGTAGCCCGAGCTGAAATGGGACTTTCCACTACATGGTTAGCCCAACAGAGGGAGCCGTTTACCCAACTTGAATGGAAAAGTTAGAGACACTGCAGCTCTTTATGATGGAAACAATCTCTGGCTCCATTCATTTACATCAGGCTTGCCAGGGCACTTCACAGACCATTAAAAAAATCCAAACTCCAAAGGTGACCAAGGCCCGGTGCATATACTGTAGACAAAGGATCCAGTAATTGTTACTTTGAAAAGCTAATGATGAAAAGCGGTAGTATTTATATTTACAATTCCAGCTAACATTTATCAGTGATCTTTATAAGTGGATTTTTTTTAAGTTCAGTAGAAACTAAATAAACACTGTCGATGTTGAAAGAACATCTTTTGCTGGCAGGAAGGTCAGAATGTATATAATCAACAATGAAACGTTCATTAACTTCTACACCTTCATAAACTGACTCCACTTGCTGGTTTGATTTGAGCGGCCTTGTGTGTTTCTCCTTTAGAGAAGATGTGGCCAGAACTGGAATCAAATATACCCCACACTTAATTAATACATAACTATTTATGGGTGTCTGCATTACTTCTGAAATTGAGTGCATTGCTTTTAGATTTGCCATACATACTGTATGTACATTTTCCTGATGTTTTTTTTTGACTGTCAATTAAATGGGAATACTACAGAATTTCAGTATTATAATGTTTTTTTTAAAGTCCATTAAACATGACCATTATCTGCTTGTGCAAAGGCTAACTCAAGAGTGAGGAATTTCTGAAATGTCAGTTGTATGTAGCTTCAGTGAGAATGAATAATGTTTTAAAACATTATACAAATATATATTGCACATTTGAGTGCTGTTACTCAAACAAACAAGTTGTTTTTCCACTGCCCAGCTGCTAGCTGTAAGCAGCATATTTATGCTTCCACAGACCAGTGGTAATATCAGTCAGCAAGATCCCACACAATAGATGCAGTGTGTCCACTACATTGTAAATTGTCACACTCCTTTTCAAAGCAATATTTGCACTAAAGTCACAACATTTATTAATATTTACTTCAGAAATACCGAGCACTGGAGCACTGGCAGCAAGAAACCACTTACTCTCTTTTACAGTTTATAACTGCAGCATGACACTACTTACAGTATATGTCTGTCTCTCTAATAAAAAAAAAGTTTTCTTTCAAAGATAATGCAGTTTGTAACTTATTTCAACAGGTGGCCGGTGAAAGTAAAGGCTTCACTTCGATTCGGACCATCTTTGAACAACTGCAATGCTGTGTTGTAAATAGAAGCTCGTATACAGTCAAGTTTTGTGTATGTGATTCATATCTGTGTCATCAGTTTCTGTGTTAATACGAAAGTGTCTTTTTTTTTGGAGCAGACATGATTCTTGCACAAAGAATGAGGAATGGACTCTAAATAAAGAAAAGCTGGATATTATATACTCCAACTTTGAACTGAACATGGTGTACTTTTTACTTCACCTGCCCCTTAGATAAAAACCTGATGAATGGACTGACTGTGGTGCTCAGCCATGACACTACTCCACAAATATTTTGCACACTACTCCCCCTGGTGGTGCATCCACCTCAATGTACATGAGTTAGCCACAAAAACAAAACAATATTTCTTGTGGATGAGTTCTAGATTTTGTGTTTATTTACAGTTCAAACTTGACCCCATTGTCCATTAGGTTTTTTTTCTCTCTTTTGCTTTGGGTTTTCTGCCTTCTTTTTGCAATATAGTGTTATGTTCTTGTCACATATGCACAACTGGCATTTAAAACCCCACAATTCAATGACTTAATGACATTATTTTACCTTAAACACCTTTACTATTTCAATCTATTCTTTGTCACTATTCTTTAGTGGTGTATCGGTCTGCATGTATGATTCAATGAGTGACCCTAAAAACCTCATAAAAGTCAAGTAGTGAGAAGGTGATATTCCATCATCTGAAAACAAAAGTTCATATAGAGGTCATATTTCCTCCACACAAATTTTATATTATTTTACTAAACGCTATAACAATTAATCAAATGTGAAAAATGCATATAATTCCATAGTCCAATGTGCAGTGTTTCAGCATGGAGAGTACTGCAATCATTACTAAGCCAATGATGACATTTTGCATGATGTAGCCTTGTCACATGCAGTCCTTGTAATCCTTGTAATAACCCCCTTTAAGTGTAGATATCACCGTTATAATTCGCCAATACATCACGTGTTAGCATGTGAGTGTTAGTTGCCTCTTCTAACTTTCCATTGCGTTTGCCAAACTGTCACAGCAGTGTGGGTTTGGCATTGATTGTCAGTGGATCTGAGCCATATTACATCGATTCAGGGAAAGCTGCTGGAGGCAATGAAGATACATGCTGCAAAATTACAAAGAGGATGACAGACCTTGCACTTGTATACACCACAAAGCCATGGTTTGCGTTGTCTGATGCATTTCCTGATGTATGGAAATGGTTGAAGTCATGAGTGGTTTAATATAACATCATAATGTATTGTGATGTGTAATTGCCTTTGTCACTTTATTGGAGTTCAATGTGTTTCTCATAAGCTCTGAGTTATTAGACTGCCCATTGCACTGACATAATCGGGGCATCCTGATCAATAACACTAATGTGCATACTGTAAGCTACACAGTTTTTCTGTACCTCTGCTCTCGGGATAACAATCAAAGGAAATAATCTTTGTGACGAACGGTTAACATTTGGAGTGCTTTTTAAGTTGTATAGTTCTTAGCAAGGACTAATCACTATTATTTTCACATGAACAAAGGAAGCACTAATATGTTCTGACTAGTGAGAAAGTATTTTGTGAATTTTCTAAAAAACAACAACTAATGCTAGTGGGTGACATCTGACACCCACCCACCACCATGCCTCAAGTTACACAGGCTCACTTGAGCAGCAGAGTTTACTTCTGACATTCTGTCCTCCGCTGTAGATGTATCACACTGAATGACCCTATGTGCAAGTGAGTCAGATCCTAGACATTATGATATCCATATATCATTATGTGCTCAGGGCATCTCCAGATAAAAATATCCCTGAGATGTGGTGAGATACTCTGGAAACCAAACAGAAAAAAGTAAAGAAGAAAAAAGTGTGTTATTACATGAATGTTTGGCAGTTTGAGTGGCTTAATACATGAAATAAAAACTAAAATATTCTTGAGTGGATCTGATGAAATATTATATTTGGGATATATTGTTTTGAAGGTTTATAGTTTAAACAGATGTACACTATGTATTGATCATTGGTTTGTTTTGGTTGTATATGTGCATTACATTACTCATTCATGCTGGTATCTTAACAAATACATGCTTAAGCCATCATATATGGAACAGTGTAGAGCAGAGTTTAATAAAGTTCAGTGTGTGCGTGCAACAACCGGCCCCGTGATTGGATGGCACAGGACTATATATTGATGTCTGAGAGTGAGTGGGTTTTGCATGTGTTTCCCAGTTCAGTTAGAAGGTGCATGACAAAGAGAGAGAGAGAATCATTGTGTTTCAATAAACACCACCGTCTGTGTCATTCCTGTGACTGCCTTGAGAACGTAAGTACAGATGTTGGCTCTCTGGTCAATTACAGACAATTATCCAAATGAACTTCTCTGGTCTAGAATGAACTTTCATAAGAAGCCTAGAACTTGTTTTATAATTAAATGTTTTATAGAGTTGCTTGTAACTTAATAAAGCTAAAGACAATTGTTTACATTTTCACTGCATGTAACACTGCATTAGGTATGTTTCTAGTATGGTTCAGAAATTATGTGCATAAAATTGATTAACAATCATGTCACTGCTTTACAAAACCAGTATAGTTTGATAAAGTTGTAATTGTTGATCATAAAATATGTAATACTGCAGTATGAATTCAAATATTTTTTTTGGAAAGTGTGTACGGTGGACTGAATTATGAGTTATTATGTTTAATGAAGGAAAATATTTCCAGAGGGATCAATATCGTGCCAGTTTCTGAGGATTGCAGAGGCCAGTTGATGGAGAAATATTTCAGACCTTTACATCCTCATCAGGACACCAGAGGCGTCAGAAGTCATAAGTCTGAAATGTGTGACCATCAAGAAAAAGACCACAACCACGGAAAGCCTGCTTACTCAAAATCTCAGCAAATGAAGCACCATCACCAAAAACATCGCCGTCACCGTAGCCAGCATCAGTCAGACAACAATGACAGCCATGAGTAAGTTGGATGTTTTTTTTCCACTCTTACATGCCTGTTCTCATGTACGGAATCTGTGCTTTATTTTGAAATAGACTAAGATATTTAGAAGATTTATTTTGTCTAAGTTTTTACATAAGAAGGTTTAAAGTAGCAGAGCTATATGTCATTTAGAGTTCATTTGTTATAGAATTTTCATTCATAAATTTGTCCATCTATTACAAAAATAGTAATGGTTTCATTAGTTTGTCTCAGCTTTGTATAGGGCTCCAGTGTGTCTTTAACACCTGTTTTCTTTTCTTTCAAAATAGCACCCATTCAACAGCAGAGGACAGCATTTTCAGTGATCCTCACCCCGACCCCCAACATGAGTGTGATAATGACAAGATTGCTCATTCTCACTCTCACATTTACGATTGCAAGCAAAACCATCGCCATGTTTCTCTTTCAAAAACACCCTTAAGTTCCTCAACTGGTTCCTCCTCCTCATCCTCCTCTTCTTCTTCTTCTTCTTCTTCTTCATCTTCCTCCTCATCATCATCCTCTTCTTCATCCTCCTCCTCTCCTTCCTCCTCCTCTTCCTTTTCTTCTTCCTCTTCAACATCTTCCTCTAGTCTTGCCTCTGAGACTAGCAGTGAGTGTTTAGATAGAATTCCACTTAAGAAGGCCCAGCATTCACAGTCCTGCACTGACATTTCCAGGAAACTGAAGTACTTTGAAGAAGGAGAAGACACAGCCCCTTTGATAGATAAAAAAGGTCTCCCTGCCAAACAGGAACGGGAGAAAGGCAAGTCCTCTCACAGTGGCACTACTCAGGGGACGCATAAGAACACACAGAGGATTACAAAAGGTTCAGGAAATGATGGAAGTTTCCGCAAAGCCAAATCGATGGAAACTCTGACAAGACCCAAAGAAAGAGATTGGCATGGAAATGAAGATGCAAATGAACAAGATAATAGAAAAAGTGAAGCCAAGAAGAATTTAATGAAGGAAAAAATTAAGTTCTCTGCCTTCCTTAATGAGATCACTCGGCAGGTGCTCAGCCCTATGAGACTCACCACTCTTGGCGTTACTGATGCTCAAAGACCGTGCAGTCCAGGGAAGGCCTCTGTTAGATCCAGTAAGGTGGACAGTAGCACTGAAAAAGTCAGACTGCAGAGGAGTCGTCCTGCAAGTGCAGATTCAACTAGCTCCAGCAAGTACTCCCATACCAGCAAGCACTCTTCTCGTCTGTCTCACTCTAAATCTTTCCACCACCATCACAGTCACCGTTCTGCAGACTCAGCCCATCACATGCATCACAGGCCCAAAAGCTGCACTGATATTAGCTGTTTGAAAAAACGTCCCTCATGGTCCCAAACCTCTCAGCATCGCTCTCATTCACCTTCCTATAAGCACCACCACCATCACCAAGGAGACCATCACACTTCTAGTCATCATCACCATGATGACAGCCACAGCCCAAGTTATCACCATCATCACAAAGACCACCACAGCACAAGTCACCATCACCACAGACGCCACCGCAGTCCTGTTTACCATCATGGAGATAACAATAGCCCCACTTATGACCACGGTGACCACCACAGAGATCACCACAACACACTACATTACGATCACCATGGAGGCCACTACAACCCAGCTCATCACCATGGAGATCATCATAGCCCAGCTCGTCACCATCATCATGGAGACCACCATGGCCATGCTCATTACCATCGCCATGGAAACCAGCATGGTCATGCTCATCGCCATGGAGAGCACCACAACCCAACTCATCATCATGAAGGCCACCACACCCCGACACATCAACATGGAGAACATCACAGTTCAGGTCACCACCGCCATAGCAATCACACAAACACTGAAAGCCCTATTACACCACACCATCATAGACATCACAGTCAAACCAGTGACCATGGAGATCACCAAAGCCCAACCACTCACCATCACCATAGCAACCACCACAACCCAACACGTCATCATCACC